TCGATGACTTCACATATCTGGGCAGTCTAATCAGCAAAGACAACGGGGCTCAGAAGGACATCAGGGCAAGACTTGGCAAGGCCCAGAGTTCATTCGCTAGACTCCGCACAATCTGGAAGTCAGAGCAGTACAGCTTACACACCAAAGTCCATCTTTACAACAGCAATGTGAAGTCTGTTCTGCTCTACGGGTCTGAATGTTGGAGAGTTACAAAGTCTGACATGAGCAGAGTAGAGTCCTTCCATAACAGGTGTCTCCGCAGGATTTGCCGCATATTCTGGCCAAATAAGATCTCCAATCATGACCTGTACATACTGACAGGGAGCCAGAGTATTGTAGGGCAGATCAAGCGACGGCGATTTAAATGGCTCGGCCATGTACTTAGGATGGACGAGAACAGAGTACCAAAGGTAGCTCTGAGATGGACACCACCCGGAAAAAGAAAGAGAGGAAGGCCCAAGACCACCTGGCGCCGAACAATGATGGCAGAGCTGAGGGAGGGGGACCTTACATGGGGACAGGCCCAGCACGTAGCCAGAGACAGGGCCAAGTGGAAAGAAGTGACTGTGGCCTTATGTCCCACGCGGGACGAAGAGCAATGATGATGACTCCAATCTACCAAAATCCCACTCAATTTTACACCCAGTCATGAGGCATAAGGCTAGCCAGGACGATTCCTACTGTCAGCCATTTTACTTACCACGACCTCTGGGTCTTTGTTTCCCTCCAAGGAAGATGGCTGTTTCAGTGGTGGAATACAGGTCAGCTGTGTGGGGGAGATAGAGGTGACGTTACAGAAGCTGTCCCCTATCCTGATCATCACATCATCCTCATTCATGGCAAGGTTCAGATTTTTGCCCTGTGATTCAATGAATTTGGTATTCAGTTAATTTGGAAGTTTTTGAAATGTCAGTTTCGACAATGGGCTGCATTGTGGATGTGAATATTTGTAAGGATTTTGATCTGATAATCTCCTTACTTTAAGAAAAATCATTTGAAATATCCACTCCCTTAAATGAACATTATCTTAATTAAGGTTCTAAATGTCAATTTTTACCAATGAAATGATTAAATCATTTTTGTTAATACTTTAAAGCATCTTATTTTTTACTCAAATAATGTAGTACCATATACAAAAATACAAAAAACTTTCATTACATTTAATGTCAAATATTCATTCTTCGTCTGGAAAAACTTGGTTCCACCGGGGAAGGGATCAAACTCAGGATTTGGGAAAATGGAAAAAGTGTCCCCCTTGTTCCTCGAATAGTTCCTCACGGACATCACATTATCCATGATGAATCCATACTCCAGTTCTAGAGGAGTGTTGGCAGTGGGGTTCACGTCTCTCTTTCGGCGGCCTTCCTCTTTATCGCATTTCATGATGCAAGGAGATTTACAGATCATACGACTTGCTGATGTGCTGTTGCAAGGCTGAAAAAGAAAAGTAGGTCAATGTCACAAAATTAGGTCAAGGTGGACTGGGTTCATTTCAATGAACAGGAATTACCTCTAAGTAACAAGAACCAGTAAAATCAGATTACAATTTTTTTTCCTCTTGGCACTGGAAAGTTCTGTGCAAATGCAAATTAAAGTGATAATTTTTAAAGATTTTTAAAATTATTCATCATTCAGCAATTCCTGTACAAATTTCAATATAGATTTGGGACTGTACTTACACTGATGTAGTCTTGACCTTGATATGTGACATACATCTTGGGTTCCTGCACAGTATTTAGACCTTCCCCTGTCACAGTTACTCTAATACCTCCACTGGAAAGGGAATAGTTTTCACTTATAAATGTATACTTTATATCTACTATAATTGTTTAAAGATGGGGTTAGAAAGAACCATGTAGCCTTTTAGCTGCAAAAAGTCAGCTCTGAATCAAAATTTAGCTGTGTTCCATGCCATTTCTTTAGATGGGTCATTTCTTGGGTCAATTTAGGGGGTTAAAAGGTTCATTTTACGGAAAAAGTACAATCCTTTGAAAATGTTGGTTACAGGCCTGCTAGGACCATTGATAGGATAACAGATAGGGTCAAGGTCACCTACCTCAACACTGCCCTGTCAGGCTCAACAGAGGTGATGTTGGGGTCCTTCATGTAGCTAAAATATTCATCACTCAGCTTTTTGGCTTTGTCATCAAAGACCATGGCAACTCTTGTCTGGATTATATCCTCTGCGGGTGAGGTAATGCAGGTCACCCAGTTATTGGTGATCCCCATGGTAGTGCTGAAATGAGAGAGCATACCTGATTGGTGGATGGGATTTGAACTCTTGGTATTGATTGGCAGAGTCTTAGGAAAAATAAGAGAAGGATTGTTATAAGTGGAAAAATGAAAAGAAATTTGATTGGTATACAGCATAGCATGAGCTAGTAATTGGCTTATGGAAGAAAAAAATTATGTGAGTGTACTTTTATAATGTGTTCAAGTCTACATGTATAACAAAATACCTGAATTTTACAATTTATTTCAAATGAAAGTGATTCCTTTAAGTTTTAATCAACAAAATGGTAAATAAAGAAGTGCAGTTAAGTTTGGTAAACTAAAGTCATTCCACTACTGAAGAAATATGTGATTCTTCAAAGCATTTTACAAATATATCCAAAAGAAAATACTTTATATTCTTCCTATGAATAAACTGCTAAATACAGACGTGCACACATGAAAGATAATGTAGACAATTGGTAAAAGTGCACTTTTGTAATTGTGTAGACAAGTGATGAACTTACCTATTATTGATGTGTGTAATGGTACAATTCAGCTGCCCCACCATAGCTCTGATCTTGGAGCCAGCATTGAGGTGGGTCCCCGTGATATTCAAAATGGTGCCCCCAGACCTGGGCCCCAGTGTGGGGAAGATTTTGTTTATCCTTGGAACCTAGAAAAAAAATGGGTAAATATTTGATTTTTTTGTTGAATTATTTGTTAAAATGCAAGTATTGAAATCTTGGAAGTTTATTCATGATCTCAGCTTTTTTTTTCCTTTTTAGCAAAATGTGAAACTTGCTATCTATATCTATAGCTTTTTTCCCCCTTTTTTTGCAAAATGTGAAAGTTGCTTTCTATATCTGTAATGAACAAGTAAAGATACAATGACTATATTTGTTGATCTTGACTAGCTCATGATTGTTTGATACCAGTATATTGTGCATTTAGTATACATACTATTTTTACCATAATTATAAAACTCATCATCATGACGAAAAAAAAAAAAAAAACAATTAAAAAACAATTAACAATATGGTAAATCCAGAAAATATAGTTTTATAATAATACACAACATTACCCATTCTATGGGATCTAGAGGTTACTTCATAACAACTATAAAAATTTGATAATGTTTTTCCCTATGCTAATGTGACTCTAATAATCTGTCCTCAACACTTACCACATAAGAAAAATTGTCCACTGAGGATGCAGTGAAACGTGTGCTGACAATAACTTGGACCTTCTTGGACTTGGCTGAGGGCACCTCACCAGTGATACACACAATTCTGAAACAGAGAAAGAAATTTTTCTTAATCCTGTACTTTTGTAATGCTTTTACAATATTATTGACCAATAATAGTTAAAACCAATCTGTGGTATATAAAACAAAATAATGAAATTAAGCATGCTAATATACAGCCCAATTTTCTACCCTGATTAGTGTCATGTTAACAGCTTTTGTTTGTGAGCATTTTATAATCATTTAAATGCAGAAGAGTGTACGTATTCATCAAACTTAAAGACTTATACTCGGGTTGTGGTGAACTGTTTAGTTTGAGAAAGAAAGTTTTGATAAAATATGCCTCATGACAAATACCAATACAATGTATAATTTCAGTTTTCATTGGATACAGTTCAAAGTGCCCAAATTGCAGAGAAATCCAATTTGCATAGATTAGGGTAAACCTATATGTATAACCTTGAGTTGTTATAAATCTGAAATAAGTACATACTTCGTGGCAGGCTCGTAGTATTCTAGGAGAGGTCTACACTGTCTGTCACCGACGTTGACACCATCTTGGATATCTGCAAAGGTCTTCCCAAGATTCACTCCTCTAATTGTTACCATGGTTCCTCCTTCGATTGGTCCAGTTTTTGGAGAGAACTAAAATAAAACAAATTTACAATTCTAATTTTTCCTTATATTTGTGCATTCTGTTCTCTCTAACAGTATTTGTCTTAAGTCAATAAGAGAAATTGTTTATAGCATAACTTACAAACTTACAATTCTGAAACCAAATCTGAAAGCTCCATTTTTGTCTTTCATACACAGAAAACATTTCTCTTCATCAACAATTTTTGCAGGAATACTTGAACTTGTCAAAAACACTACTACCCTAAACTATATTTAAAAACTACACTATTCTCCATTTCCTTGATAACTTCTCTAAAACTTTTAATCTTTATCAATAGACTATTTACTGTATACAACAGTTACTCTTCATAGCACTACTCACGCTGTGAATCAGGGGGTTGGGGCAAACAGAGTTCCCGGCCAACCAAGTGTCCATTTCCCCCAGACACTGGTCCTGTATGGTACAGACATTGTTCTGACCGGAGCACCATCCACAGTTGTATTTGTCCTCCATAGTGAGGCAGCTGCCGCAGCTGTTTGCCATGGCTGAGCACTTGTAAACTTTAACTACAGAGAGGTAAAAAAAACGGATACAGAGACCCTGGATATTTTTTCCGACTGTTCATTTTTTTCTTACTTATGCGAATTTTAAACAGTTTGTCATGGCAAAGCATTTGTATACTTCAACTACAGAAAGGAAGAAGTTATATACAATGATTCAAGGAATCTGTTCACATTTTGCTTAGCTCTGAGAAACTGAACAAGGCAGGTTTTAATTTCAAAGGAGATGAATCCTTAAAATATTTTCACCACCCAAGTATAACACATCACTGAATTTGATTCTTGCCATCAATTCCTATGCCATTCTCAGTGGAGCAATTCACAGAAACCCACCTTGAATATTCGAGGGGTTATCCAAAGGTCGACTTCCGCTGCCCCAAGTAATCTCAAAGCGGACATTCTGATGTTGAGCATTCCCCACATAGGCAAACTGAAATGATAGAACATTAAAAATGCTTATACTGAATTAAAACTGGATTTGACCTTACTTAAATCAAGCCATACCAAACATGTTCTAAACACTCCTTTTTTCTGTCAAGATAAACCAAATAGATTAACCTACCAGTTTTTAAATTGTTTTTTAAACTTTTAAAATCTGAATTTTCTTTTAAAATCATAATAGCACTTAATTAGGAATGCCAGGCTTTATGTATTTTTACAAGACAGTGTAAATTTTTGAACAAGTCTAGTGCAGTACAAATTGAAATAAATAACAAAAATAGTTAAAGTAAGTAGCCATAATTTATATACTCTAACACAGCAACAAAGAATAAATAAAAGACTGAAGACAGTTCCCTTTCCTACCTCCATCGCCTGGGAAGGATTACACTCTATGACGTTGGACCCTGTCTTAGTCGCAGGCACCGTCTCCACTCTGTCGCTCTTGTAGAACTTACACTCAAAACTGCTCATAAAATCCTAAAAAAGTACAGAAAAAAAATTTTTAATACTTCTGATCTAGTATTCACAATCTTAACCACCCCCATCACCTGCAAAAACTGCAATTTAATGAGAATCTTTTAAAATACTTTTAAATTTGAGAGATTTTCTGGTTACATGAAGTAGGAGTAAACACCCAGATAGCCCTGACTCACATGCAGAGCCATGGCCTTCACAGACACGATCCTGGTCGTGCCAGAGGGAACGAGAATCTCTGCAAAATTGGCCTCGATCCTGGGGCAGTTCTCTGGTCCTGGTCTCTGGGAGGTACCGGGTCTCTGAGGATGATACAATGTGTCAAATAAATATCGTTGTCAAGATAAAGCTGAAATTTCTGAGAAAAAGGGTAATTGTCATATAACAGCCTTGACCTTGATGAATTTTGATTGGTTAGAAAATGAATCACGGCAACCCTGAACTTAGTCAAAAACATCTAATATAACTTCTGAGTGAAAATTTAAAACACAGAAATGAAAATACAATAACAGCAAGATTAATAATAAAAAAATAAACCAACAAACAAAACAAAGAAACAAAAATAAAATTGCAATCCCAAAAGCACTATTCTGCGGCAGGCTTATACCCACTACCTCAATCACAGATAATATATTTATTAATAATATAAATATCAATTGTTTAGAAAGACAAAAGCTTCAAGTGACAGTGATCTAATTACCAAAGGTGACCATGGCAAGTGAAGAGATTAAGGTTATATAGTTTCATTATATAAAATAAATATATTATACATAAATAGTTCACTACCTACATAAGCATGATTCCTAAATGTTGTATGTATAAAGTCTGAGATTAAAACTAGACGCAGAGGTAAACACAAGATTCCAATTTCTGAATTGTATGAAAATACATTATTTTGTTCAATCTGTAGTTTAAATTAGATAAATGTCAAAATGGCAAAAAATTATCTGGAGTTACCCTATGCTTAAGTACCAAGTTATTGAATTAAAAAAATCCCTTATCATCATAAAAATACACCTAATTTATTTGTAGTCAAATTGAATCAGTACCCATGGGGAAAAAAGGCCAATTTGGACAAATTTTTGCACCATTTTCATTCTTGGGTAAATCAAATTTCTCTAACACAAAACAAATGATGCACTATAAGTTAGTGTCATTTCAGTGCAACTGCTCTACATCAACTGTGCAAACCTCAATATTCTTGTCACTGTGGCATATATCATGATATAGTGAATGTCAGTTATACAGCCAATATTTTCATAGTATTTGATGATAAATCCATGAACTGATCTCCCCTCCCCTTTTTGTGAAAAAGAAATTGCAAAAAAAAAGTTGTTTTGCATTGTGAAGAACATGCATAGACCTATAATCCTTTTATCTTCTTTATTGAAGAAGGGACTTCATTAATTTTATTTTGAAAAAAAAAAGTGGTGGAGAAAGGCGGACTTGGGGGAAGGGGGCAAACTATTTTTATAATCTATACACTGCAGGTAAATATTCCATAGTGCAGTGATGGTTTTTATACTGAGTGACTGTGGTGTCTATTCACGTGTACACAATGCCTTGTTAATCTGTTAAAAGAACATTATTTCTGGTTTTGAAGTTGCATACAGATATGTGTAATGACGTTCAGTGATGTTTGGTTTTATATAATTCTTATGATATCACAGATTAAATTTAAACTATGCTTAAAATAAAGAGTTTTTCAGTATTATGAGCAATAGTTCCTTTGAGAAGCAGTTGGAGCCAGATTTGATTAAAAATTGTTAGGCGGACCAACACTTGATATTGTTAAACTGTCCTACGTGTAGTAGTAGTGATAAATAATTGGAAGCTCTAATGAAATACCTGGCTCTCAAGTTGTGCCAAGGTCACCTAGGTAATGGAATCACATTATTAATGACATTAACAACACAACAAGCAAGCAAACAATATATCTGTTCATGTCTCAACTGATTGGTTTGAAACATGCAAAAGCACGATGAACACAATCCAGACAGATTGAGAAGAAATGCTTGGACTTTATGCAAAACATTGAATTATCTGTCAGTGCTCACAAAGCTATTGCTTCTTTTCTTTCCATTTGAAATAAAATAAAAAAGTCTTTTCTGCAAACATATACACACTTGTGACCTACCACAACAATACAAATCTAGTATCCAACCAAAACCACAATGTTTTACACAACTCATTTGCAGGTGTCATGTCTAAATAAGCATGTCTGCCAAAATAGGTAAAAAAAAAAAAGACTTGTTGTTTTAAACACATGCACCCATGCATATACACACACACATGCACACACACAAACACACTTACGTTTTGTCCAGTGACCAAGGTGTCCCGCAGACAGTCCTGGTCGGATTGGTATGTGCACTGATGTCTCTGGATACACCAGTTACATGGGTACATGCTGGTGGTGCAACTGGTACATCTGGAAGTAGAACATAGTCTATTTAGAAACATGTTTCACCTTTAAAAAAATAAAGTAAGTTTTCTGAGGGCTTAGATTAAATTGAATTCTGTAGATAGGTGACAATGTAAAGTTGACCCCGAGATAATGGTATATGAGATTTTTTATAAACGCTAGGGGGGGGGGGGGGGGNAGACAGTCCTGGTCAGATTGGTATGTGCACTGATGTCTCTGGATACACCAGTTACATGGGTACATGCTGGTAGTACAACTGGTACATCTGGAAGTAGAACATAGTCTATTTAGAAACATGTTTCACCTTTAAAAGAATAAAGATTGTTTTTTGAGGGTTTAGATTAAATTGAATTCTGTAGTTAGGTGACAATGTAAAGTTGACCCCGAGATAATGGTATATGAGATTTTTTATAAACGCTAGGGGGGGGGGGGTTGTCAGTACAACTAATGTGTAATTCATAAGAGATTTCAACAGGATCAGTTGAATGAAACAAAATATTCAGATACAATTTCACCAACAGAGATGGCAACCGTTTTTTTCAAAGTTGCAAAAGTAATCATGACGAGAGGAAGCAGTTCATCACGCACACAGGGTGAGCAAACAATTCTCAGATCAAAGATGAAAAAAAAGAATCTGACAATGAAATAGAGGGAGGAGGAAAGAGTTCCAATTTATTTCAAAGGTTACTTCTAATTAACACCGAGCAACCCTATCAGAGAAAATGCAGCTTCTCATTAAGCAGACTCAATCATTTATCCCTGGATATTATTACATTTCCAGCACCAAGTTGATCTATGCCATAGAAGTATACAGACATGGTGCCCCCTGGGATAGTGTATGGAACCCCCTGTCATTCACACCAAAGCCCTATATACTGCATAGAAATTCAACAACAAAAAAATACAATCCACATTTCTTGCTTTTCATCATAAAACTGTGGCCCATTACATGTATTTTCAATGTTTTTATCCCAAAAAACTCAAAATTGATGAGACTATTCAAAACATCAATGGCAGACGACCATCAATTTTAATTAAAGTCATAATCTCTGCTAATGACTCTTGATCTGCCCCAACTGACTGTGTTGGTCTTCTCCGCGTGGTTAGGCAGATGCGCCCGTTCGCTACTTCATTAGCCCCTATTGTCATCCCATCAACCCCTTTATTGGCAAATTTCCTATTGTCTTCCACTCCAGTTCCAGCTAAGCTTTGATGTCTCATATTAATATCTGTTTCACGGGTTCCCGTGGGTTTTAATTGCCTTTGAACACTCTGTGTACAGAGAGATTGGAAAGTATTGAAATTTTGTCATATATCAAACGTCATGGAAAATTGTTCTACTGGTGTTTATGTCTTGATACTGATACAACCACGTTAATGTAACAAACTTATATTTCAAGGAGAGAAATCCCTTAAAACACTGTCCCAAATTCATGCAAAGGAAAAAGAATCCACACACATGCTGTATAATTTCCAAACCCTCAGCAAGCCCTCCACGTGAGTTACAAACTCATAAAAAAAATAAAAAGAGCTTCCTCAAAACATTACGGTCAAAATTTATGAAAAAAAGGAAAAATTTCCAAACCCTCAGTAGGCTGATAATTAACTGTCCTGCTGACATCAAATCGTCTGAGTCAATCTATCATGGCATGTGAATTAAAAAGTCAAAAAAAAAAAAAATTTTTTTTTCACCTTTCTTTTGACATAAAGCACTTCTATATCCTATCCACTAACCAAAAAAGGGTTTTAAGACAATGGATGCAAAACTCAATATGTTCCCTGTTGTATGCAAAAATACCAAAATACATATAGGGCCATGAGTTTAGCTGATTGTGATCATCTCTCAGATTTTTTTTAATAAAACAAGTGTTAAAAACTCAATTTCCTTAAAAAATGGCAACAAGATGACAAGTACATGATGAATTGAAGTGTCTCCTCTCTTAAACTCTACCCTCCCCCATCCAACACTAACAAATATACAAACATTTCTATCTTAGTTTTTCATCAAATTTCTTTTAATGGGTTCCAGGAAAAAAAGACATAACAAAAAGCCCTTCTCCCTAATTTGACAGGCAACATATCTTCGTGTTAATTGCTGAGAACAGCTGACCCGTATTTGTGAATGTTCAATAATGATCAGCGGACATTTTTTCTTCTTGGAATCAGTATCAAAAATAACAAATATACAACAGAAACTATTCTATTTTTTTATTGTGTATAACAATTTTATAAACTATTTCTTCCATAAAATCCCAACTTGAAAAAAAAACTTTTTACAATCTGTTGCCTTGAACAGTAGATCATACACCCCCTAGTTATGAACAACTTCCACTTGTACGTCTTTAACTTACTACAGATGTTAGTTCACATTTATAAAATATACATCTTAATAAAAAACAACCCCAGATGTGTTTCATCACATAAATATCCCTCATCACCCACATATTGTTGTACTTGTTTTTCACAGTAAAGCCAAACAGAATTACAAAGTACAATACCATTCAACAGGGAGGTGAATATAAAACACAAATGTCTGCAAATTCTTTATTTTTCTATAAACCATCCCATGTTTGCTTCTATATATGGCAGCCATAAGAGACAACGGCAGGGATCATTTACACCCACAGGACTGTTATCTTTAGGTGCGAGCCTGGTACACGACATCAAAGCTACAAGTATTAGTTGATAGCAGTATGGAATTCAGATAATTGTCTTTATAAAGAATCAATACAAAGCTGAAGAGCAGGCATCTCACTACACACTTATTTTAGCAAGTGCGAACCAAGCACGTTATGAGGTGGCACAGATTCAGTCCAGTGTAAATGCAGCTCATGTTATTGGAGGGTGGGGTCCATGTTAAAATACAGCATTTCATACGTCTTACACTGAAGGCATGATAACAAAAACCAGTAAGTAAGAGTAAACTGGAGGGCAGGAAAACAGTATGTTATTTCCAGTTATGTGGTCACACTGCCAACTTGTATCACCTGCAGGTACTCGTGTGAAAATCTAAAAACACGCAGATTGTTTGCATGTCTAGGCATGCAGCATGTTCTTAATACGCAATTTTTTAATTTGGCAAATATGATATGCATAAGAAATTTATTTTAAACAAAATAATGATGCTATATCTGTCCATAATTTTCTTCATAAAACATCAAGTTCTAAATTACTTGACAAACAAAACATAAAACGTAATGAAATAACAATTCACCATAGAGCGCTATATGTGTTTATTGGTTCTTAAATTTGCTCCTTATTCTTTTTATATAACCACACTGAACTCGTTTAGGGAAAGTTGGTATCTGTTAGTTTTTCTTTTTTTATGCCAGGGGGGTAATATGAGTGTCATTCAGCCACCATTCTTCAGTGACAAGGTGTAATTTAGTCATGAAATATTTGCCATTTTGAACTCATTATAATTACAAGCAGGGCAAAATGCTCCCGTGAGAACTTTTACTCATATCAAAATTTGTGAATTTTTTTTCGCTACTCTAATAAGAAAGAAGAGAAATAATAAATCTCATTACTTTTTTCTCATATCTTTGATGGGCACATGTGCAAGACTTAATTGGCTTGATATGATTATCATGTCACATAGTATTACGGATCATAAGCAAGGCCAGCCAATTTTTTAAACAATAAAGTGTGAAGTGTGTTTCAAGCTGCAACATGGCCAAGAATTCTGCTGATAAAAAAATTCCACAAATATGCTTCTCCAAATTCCCAAAGCCTACAATACAAAGGGGAACATACATAGACTTGTACATAGGGAGTTCCTCGATAGCATCTTATAAACATATACAAACATGCAATAGTAAAATTTGCTATTAACATCCTCTATCCTAAATATTACTTTTCATTATCATTTCACATAAAAAAACCATGAATGCCATTTAAGATATACACAATGGGCCATAAGACAAAGAAAATTGTATCTTTTCAACAATGGCCAATCTGCCATCCATTCTCGATATCAAGATCATGTTGGATTCAATTTGTTTGTTTCTTTATCAACTAAACTTTAATTGGATAAAAGTTTCAATGCTAATCCACGTCATTATCTTAAGTTTGGTTATTGCATAAAAAGATAAAAGCTTATGCTTCTTTCAGGCTTTTCAGGGCCATCTGTCCATCCATTGTGGATTTCAAGATGGCGGAGAGTTAACTCCGTTAATGAAAATTCTCTCAAGTGATAATACATTAGCCCATCTATAATAAGTTCCGACTTTTATTGAATCACATCTTCTAAATTCTTCAACTGTGAGTGGTCTCACAGCGTGACGGTACAGTTGTTATGATAACAATAGTAAGCCCTTCAGAGAAATGGCGCAAATTGAATTTTTTAGTAGATGCCAAACAATTCTTATGAGACTAACGTCTTAGTTCTAAACACTTTATACTGATCTGAGGAAAATGCTTACAAGCCTCAAGCATCCATCTAAATCAGCTGCTGATATGAAATCATTTTGTGAAATTCTCAGAGCTATTTTATATTAAAACATGTAAAGGCCACTTGTGCTGAAAACTCCATTTTTCCATAATTGTTCGATTAGTCCTCAAAACCCATGAGTCCTCATTACTCACTGAGAGTGACAATTTAATAATATCGGACACTGACGAGGGATCTGACACCAAGAAAAAAAAAATACTTCAAAACATTTTTTTCAGACTGCCAACTCAGCAGTCTGGCTATTGTGCATTTCCCTTCTTGCAATCTGACCTATGGACCTTTTGTAATCATTTCTTATTTTGTATTTTATTCTTTGTTATTTTTCCAACTGTCAAATTTACTGACATTTCCCATCTCATCACTGTAAAATTCAGTTTCCTTGCAAAGGAGGCAACACATTTGATTTTCCCCTCAAATACTTCCGAAACTTCTGATGGATTGTAATATACTTCTCAATAATACTGACAAATAGGGCTATCCCAAATCTGAACATCTTTCCTCATGATTTCTCCATAATAAAGACACATCCACATATTGTTAAATTAAAAATGCTGTCCATGGGAAATTCTATCAACCCTTCTGGGAAACATTAATTACTTTGTTCTTTGTTCCGCTGGATCCTCCAAGACTCCCTAATCTCTCTCTCGGTTAGATTATCTACGAAAACTTCTGAGCAGCGATGGTCAGAATTGATTATGATGATGACTTATGATACAGAATGTTAGAGTGTAGAAAATGCGTATTACTCATAGTGGTCAAAACGAAAACTGATCATGGATTTTGACCTAAAATGATACAGAATCAAATCAGTCATCTGATCCTGATAATTACTCAGATACTTCAAACACCTAGCTTCTGTCAATTAAAATAATACACGAAGATTGGTCATTTGCAGTTTCTCACAAGACCATACTTCTAGATAAGAATCAAGCATTCTCTTTGGAACTTTGAACACATTCTTTTTTCACCAACAGATTGCTTTGGGTAACAAATTTCATGAATTTTGTTCAGAAGTTGTGAGTAATTATCATATATATTTTAACGAGAGTATTTACCCCTCACTTCGTATACTTACGATCTGTGCACTTTGCAGTCAAAGAAGGTAAAGTTGGTGTGGACAAAGTCTTGTTCATTGAGACGAACTGACAGCTTCATAACAAAATGGTCTGGAAATAGATAAAAGAAAGGCATAAACATATATCACCGAGGAAAAATTTCTTTTCAACTCATAAAACGAATATTTTATTCACTTCATTCATAAAACTTTCAATCAAAATCATTGGTTTTTATTCTTAAAATAGGAAAACATTTCCCTTTTTGTTTTTTTATTTTTTCTCATACATATTTTTTTCATCCAAAACTCCAATCTGCTCCAATCTATTAACCACTTCTCTGCTCTGAAAGGAACAGATGTTCTCTCACTTGACTCATCATAAAAAGCCAAAAAAGAAAAAAAATACCCTCAAAAATTAAAGGGTAAATTTATACCAATTACTTAAATGACAAATTATACATCATCTTCATGTGGTAACATTAGCAGCTAATTCTGTAATGACTTTGGCAAGATCAGTTTCAGGGGCATACCAGTCCATCATAACCAATTTACTTTGAATTAGCTCTGGCAAATATATCTGAAATCATTCACTGGGGCTTCCATTACTTTTGATTAGGTTTTGAATAGTGAGATAGACACCTCTGTATATGCAAGTATTCTGTGTGTGTACTGAACAGTGTTCTGAGAGAGAGAGAGAGAGAGAGAGAGAGAGAGAGAGAGAGAGGTCAGATTTTCAAGTTTACATTGATGGGTAGCTGATTTTTCTGTTGGAAGGTGATCAGAAATGGAGGATGGATCAATGTAGTTAATTTGGAAGACTGTCAAAAATGTCTCTGGATCTGCCCCTGTGAACAGCTTGGGTGTGGAATTGAGAATCAGCAAGAAAATGGTCAAGAAGTGGCACACAAACCACTCTAGAGGTGATGGTCACCAGAAAAAGAAAGAGTGTATAACAAAAAGTCCACATGACTCTTCAATATTATTACACATTAGGGAAACCAAATCAATCATACCAGTTGTGCCTTCACATTAAACTTTCCATTTTAAAACCCAAAACCACCAGATTCCTCCATTCTTTGAAGTTCAAACCAGCCATTCATCACCAACAACAAAAAACTCCTCTCACTTTCTCCCCTACCTCCACCCCATTATCATTACTGTTATAAATCATCCATCCACTCTAGTTCAATATTTTCCCAAACAGCAGCTATCTGTAACCTGAATATAATTGATGGCACAATCAAACAGCCCTGGGCCCAGATTTTCCCTTTTTTCCAACTCGTTTTGCTTTGTTGCACAAACTAATCAGCCCAGCTACAGAGAAAAACATTTTGGAATAGCCTTTTTAACCCGTTCCGTGGAGAGTTTGCCTGTATTGGGGTTGTGAAATTTGACTAGTGTGTGCGCCAAGTTATGTGATCAATGTATACATGTGGATATTATACGGGAAGTCCAATAGAAAGCAAAGCAGAAATAATAGAAATGCACCATTGTTTTGCCTTTGTGCCAAGGGAACTGGAACTGTAACAGCAAACTTTCCCATTTCCTCAACAATGACACCTAGATTAATCAAAATGTTCAGATCTATTTTTCATTCCATCCTGTTATTGAGCAACACAGAGGGCGAGAGGCCGTCCACTGCTTTACATTCCTTCTGCAGCCTCAACTGTAGAATCAACTCTACTTCTTGTTTCTTTCAATCTAGACAAATCCCCCCTTCCCCACCCCAATGATGCAACTTCTATTCAATCTCAAAACCAAAACGTGTTTGTGTGCGCATGTGTATGTAACTTTTTCCCAATACGAACATCTCCAGATTGCACACAAAACCCTCCTGAGATCCCTCCCCCCCCTCACCACCACTGTCAAAACATTTAGACTTTGGCTATACTTAGATGATAGTTCAGCCTAAATAGGAAACAATATTATAGCAACAAGCCAGATCTCGTCTAAATGCTTTTCTGTTCACATGTTACTAGAGTCCCTCTTTATTACTTGTTCTTTAATGGTGAATAATTCACATAAATACCAAGCCCCACTGCGATGCACATGCAATGATATAATCCTTCTAAGCTGCCTCAATTATTATTAAGCATAACATGAATAACATCAAAGAGAATGCGGAAAATGATGGTTCAGAATGCAGTATCCAATTCATTACGTTTGCCAATCATCCACCAAAATAATTTGTGGAATGGGAGAAAAATTCTATCAACTACACCGCTAATCTCTTCTACATTAATACAAAATAATGAAATGATATCCTTCAGTAAATGTTTCCCCCTAAAAATGAATTGCATCATGCAAAAGCACCTAAATCAGAAAATAATACAACAGAAGAGAAAGAAACCTGGAAACAAAACTGATCATGCACAGATATGATATTTAGAGAAGAACTAACTTCCAGAAATCGGTGAAGGTGGCCATATAAAATTTAACAGTACAATTTTGCCACAAAATAAATGGTGCACCGTAACACCATAACAAGATATTTCTCAGAATAAAAATCTTCTAGTGCATTGGATTTGCAAATATTACCAAGAGAAAACTAACAGTGAAATGATGGTTTAAAGTTCTTGAAGTACCAAAGCAGTCTCAGACAGCAATCTATCTTGTTGTTTATGGTATACCAAAATTGGCTGGCTATAATAGTGACAGAGAACTAAAGATTTTTGTAATTTTCCTGAATATAAGTAGAGATGACGGTAATCAAACCATGATACTTCCTGGTAATTATTCTCTCTCTTTTTCCAAAAATGTCTGTACAGAACAAATTCTAACAGATTCAAAAGTTACAGCAGTTCTTCCAAATTGCCATTATACCAAAGCTGCCAGTTTGTCCCAACGGCTAAATGCCATTGCTTTGAAATCTTTCACATGGAAATACAACAGATAACCAAATTCAGTGAAAATTGCAAGTGGCATTCAACTTAAAGCCACAAGAATTCCATTACAAGTTGAAATTTTATTGAGATGTTCGATCAGATTATCTGTGGTCTGACCCAAAAGCCTTTTCAGTGGTTTTGATTCTGTCAAGGCTGAAACCATAATGACAACAAATGAACTGTGTTTCCTTGTGGGAAAGTTTTTTTTGCCACCATTCCCTTTCGACATCAAAGTCTGATCTTATCAACTGATCAGATAAAAACAAAATCACTTCCAAATATCTTTTAAACAAAAGAACAATGAGTAAACTGTCCACTCTTTTAATCCTTCTGCTTAAGAGAGAGAGAGAGAGACCGGGGGGGGGGGA